AATACTTACATGTGATGGTTGTGTCATAGGATAACTAGGTTCAGTGGTTGTAGATAATACTTACATGTGATGGTTGTGTCATAGGATAACTAGGTTCAGTGGTTGTAGACAATACTTACATGTGATGGTTGTGTCATAGGATAACTTGGTGCATAGTGGCTTGGTACAGAGGGAGTGGCTACCTTCTGTACAAGAGCAGGTCCTGTTTGTCTGAAAAAGGTCACAATGCACTTTTCAAAATGAGTTCAACAATAGGCAAACTATAACAATTATACTAATCAATGTATATGATGGGGGCAAATTAAATCTACTGTACATATATGTCAAAATAAAGTAGCATGTTTTGCAAATCAAGTACATTACCATTGCAAATTATCTCAATTATTTTTCTTTCAAATATAAAGTGGTTTAAGCATCAAATCTAGCTTGTAACCCCTTCAACCAAATCAAGAGGCTGTTACCTGTACTGAGCTCCTTCCCTCCTCCCTATTGTTCCGCCTCCCTGTACACTAGCAGTCAAAGGTGGCGTTGGTGGTTTTGTTGTAGGCGCTGAACTGCTACCTTGGCTGCTCTTACTGGTCATACTGTTGGAACGTTTACTCCTGGGGTTATTTTGCTGTACCTACTCAAAAGGAAAAACAAAATCATAGTTATATTTGCCGTGTTCAATTCTATAAAATTAATGACAAAATTTAGAGTTCACAGATCAGTTATGAAATTCTGAAGCCAAGTGTCTTTCTCATACTTAGATACTATCAAAATATGATACTAGACATCAGCTTATGTGGATTTATTAAGGGCATATTAAACAATAAATAACTTCTGACTGGCTAGGTCACATGAAATTTTGAAGTCTCACAATCAAAGTTAAGCAGTTTAAACAAAACCTGAAACTTAAGTTTTATGTGCAAAAGAGACTAGAAAGCAAATCTTATCAATTCACAATTTAGTTCACACCATGTATCTTTTTCGATCAAGTGCCAATTATCCGATCATTCATAGCGCCTTTCTTACCCTTACTCCATGACCAATATCATCCAATAAGGAGAAGTTAATGTCTTCTCGGCGGTACTTGACTGGCCTCTCAGGTTGTTCTGGGAAGACAATGCCGTTCTTTACACCCACTGGCCTGGTGATGCACTTGTTGGTTGTTAACACGCCTATCTCTCTCCTGGCTACTTTTTCTTTGTGTATCATTACAATCTGAAAAAAAAATACATTGTTGAAATTTGATCAAATGTGATGCCTCTTAAAATTTATCAGAATCTGTTTGTAATGTGCTCATGAATGGGTATAATGTTTGTACATGCATCCATTTATTTTTTTATGCAATTTGATATAGCATCTGTTTGTATTGTGCCTTGCTTTTGCAAGGTTATAATATATTTTATAGATGAAAGTGTACAAATGAGTGAACAATCGGAATAAACATGTTGCTTTAGCATATGCTTAAAATATAACTATGAAGAAATAACATCACCATGTAGTATAGAAAAGCCTGGGTTTATACAGTTCACAAATTACATTTAATGCCAGTGACACTAACAATATAGGTAGAAATGTCCCACAAGAATTTACTTCAACCCATTAACATACTGAATGGGATGGAGTGCACTAATTTAACTCTCTAGAGGGGTGCAACTAATGGATAGAAAGACATTTAGATTGTGTGAGTTTAGAGACATAACAAATTGGGCCTTTTCAAGACCCATAATGTAAACAGACACTGTCTGTCTGTCGTGTGTGACATATATTATACCCAATGCACACTTTTTTAGGTATGACATTTACTCTTTTAAATTCCAAAAACATGACTTGTTAATCTCCCTCCCCATAGAAAAATTGTAAACAATACTTAGAGATGTTGATACAAAAGTGTTAAAAAGTTTATTGGCTTAGTGCCATGGTAGTGTTCTGGATGTTTAAACATGATTGATCTTCTTAGAAAAGTGGAGCAATAAAAAAATCTCAGTGATGTTCTACAAAAATTTCCCCCAATCCACTAAGTTAACATACTGTACTTTATTGTCTGTTATTATTTTTTGTCACACTACAGCAGCACTTTAAAAACAGTCATGCTTGAAATATATGAAAATAAGTTGTGCTACATGTCAATGGAAACTTTTAATTATTATGATTCTTTGCAGAACCAAATAAAAGTGAGGGACTTCATCTTTTCCAATATTTTATCCTTACTATAAAATCACTGAGAACTGTGGTAATATGCAGCTTCTTTCAAGTCATTATTTAACCACGCCCCTATCTATGTCTGTTCCATCCAAACCAAACATCCAGATTCAAATACATCTTCCATATCAGATCAGTTACGATAGATATATCAGGATTATACAAAATCAATAAATCAAACTTATACCAAACAATCAACCAGGTTACTTCCTTGTTTATGCTACTCATGTTTTACACTCTGTATATATTAATCTGTGTGAGACTGACAGAGGACTTTAAGTGGGCCATGTTTGTCAATGTTGATATTGCTGAAGTACACACCTGTCAAAACTAGTTGATAAAGGGGCCCAGATGATAAAACCTGATGTTAAATGCACCATAATAAATAACAGGTGATAACAAGAAGTTTGCAAAGGGGACAAATAAATATATACTGATAAACATGCTCCTATCAAATATCTAATCACAGGTGTGAAGTTGTGCTATGGACCGCCAATAGTAACAAATTTATCTACATTGCTTCCTGGTTGTCCTGCAGTCTACGTCGTATTTATTACATCTGCCAGTGTGGTTACGTTTTGGTCTAAGTTGTTTTTTTAGTCCACACCCTATACCAAGTATTATAAAAAGATTTAAATAGAATTTTCAGGGTAGGTCAGAAATGGGTTAACTTAGAAATGAAAAGATTTGTTATCCATTCATCAATTAATTAATGAGATTAAAGCTGCCTTGGCATAGGTCTGAGCTCATAGAGTGCTTAAAATTCTTTTCTATGTATTCTATGTTTGCTATGCACAACAAAAACTTAACAGTTTCTAGTTACAAAAGTAGATAGATGCACCTGTTTGGATTTATAATTTCTTCTCACTATACACTGATAACGCTAAAATATTAAAATCCTAGAAATACTAGCATCCAATTTTTTTTGTTTGTTTTTTTTTTTTTTCTAATTGCATAACAAGAAGACATTTATACTTAAGCATCAGCCAACTCCTTAACTAACTTCCAAACATATCAATGTTAAATTGATATAAAATTTAGAATATTCAATATATATACTTATTAGACAATTTTTTTAATTTTCTAAAGCAAAAGTGAGACATCCTTCAGGTTTTTTATCTTTCAATTTCTGTGCTAAGTAGAGTCTTGTTATTGATTCAAATGGTTCAGATTTTCATTCGAACCATTTTTTACTATTCCATTCTAATTTTCTGTCTTACCTCTGAAAGATGATTGATGCCAGATTCCATGTTAGCCAACTGCTGGGTCTGCATCTCCAGTAGGCTGAGAAAGTTTGCAGCAAGATTGTTGATTTGGTATGCCACACTGGCCAGTGATTGGGTGGTATAGTTTTTTGTCTCCTCCAAGGCATGACGCTTGTCTTCAGCCTGGAATAGGAGCAATGATAGAAATAAAAAATGTTAAGATATCTAAAAATGTTATTGGCTAATTTTGGCACCATCTATACCACACAAGAGACAAACTTGGCAAATTTCAATATTTAGAACTTGCCTTTTAACTGATGAGGTAATATTTACTTTTGGCTGTTCTTAATTAATTATTGTATTTTGAAATTATATGTATCTATAAGCATTCTTCCAGTGAGAATGATATAAAATTAAAGGCAGAATTCTTCCATTCTAGTTTCCTAAAACCACTACTCCAAGATTATGCAATTTAGCACGCACGTGTTTATTGGCACAGTTAAAGAGATGAATGTTGTGATATGGAATCCAATAACTTATAAATGAACTGCTAACAAGTCAGTGAAGTGGATAAATGTACGAAAATGATCAAATGATACATAATGCAAGGGCCTTTCACGGGTGATTTCATTCCAGTGTGTTCAAATAAGGTGTTAGTATGAGAGTCGCACGATAAAAGTGGTCTGGGCTGCAAAAAGAATTGAAACATTTCCAATTTTCTCATTAGCTTATCTTCAAACATTTCCTGTTCCAATGTTTACGTTACATTCGTCGGACCGTTGCTTCTCTTAGAAACTACTTCAAACTTACCTGAATATAATTCCCCTCACAATAATCTGCAACTCTTTCTAAGTTCACATGACTTTCCTGTAGCTGCCTCCTGCCTTCTGGAATTTCATGTTCCGTAAGATGCCAAAGTGACTGCTCAGAGTCCGCCATTTTGGCCCTTCCCTTACAAAGGTCACAACCTCGTTGTCATATGGCCTTGAGAAAATAAACTTTAAGTGTTTTTTGTTTATTGTTTTTCTCTTTTAAACGTAAATAAAGTCATTTTCTATATTTCTCAACGCATTAAAATACTTTTTTGATTGCAAAACTCCCTCTTCCTTATTTTCATGCATACATTAGTAGTTAATTTTAGAGCGACATGACCTACATACGGGGCTCCCAATGGCCGACGACAGCGATAGTGGATGGCTGTGGTATTCCGAAACATCTCAGGTAATTCTGGAATTTGTGGCTGTTAATATTAAAATGCTGTTTAAGAATAATCTTCATGTATCCTTTAAATATCGTTCAAACGCCTGATTTGCCATTATAGACAGAAATCACTCTCATGACATTTTTGTCCTTGGAAATTTTACGTACCACTAGTGAAATACGTGACCTAGAAGTTCATTAAAAGTAGACTACGTAATAATCCAAAGTACAACTTATGTTGGTAGTTAAGGAAATAAGTATTGAGATTAACATACATCTGATGGAAGCTTTAGATTAGAATAAAAATCATTTAGTTGTTTCGTTGGATTATATTTTTCTGTTATTATTTTAATAAAGTAAAAAATTATATCATATGTACTAAAATAATTATTTTTAGACATAAATGCGAAAAATCAACTTATTTATTTACATCTGAAACAAAAGCTTAAATATATAACATACACAGGGGTGTCTTCCTTTAGGCCAGTACCACTTGTTGACTTTTCTGAAAGCATCAAACTCTAGAGTGTGGTGGGCTGGGCTCAAAAACTGGAAGCCTAGATCTTGAAAAATGGGCATTTGTATTGTAATATTGTTTCAAATATTGTATACAATAAGTGATTTTGATATCTCCATTAAAGTCGATTCCATTTCTTTGCTTTACAAGGGTCTGTCATCAAAATGTTTAATGCATGAATTATCACAGCATTTACTTTGTGTACATGTAAATATAAACAATTGTTTAAAGCATATATACTTTTGCTTCTTTTAGAATTCGATTGGAGAAGTGACATACACCAATGCCATTTTAGACCAAGGTAAGAAGAAAAACACCAACTCTCTCCACATTGATTTTTAGTGAAATGTATTAAGATAATCTGCTGGTATTTGATCATTATATGCACAAAGCTCATGTAAGCATACAAAATACAAAATGTTTGCAAAATTAGCTACTGCAGGAATATTTGTATGTGGCAAAACATAAACATAAATGAAAAAGCTTTTGCAAGGTTAGAAATGTTATCATCATGCTCTGAAGAGTCAATTCAGTTCACATCACTTTATCACATCACTGACATCACTTTAGCATAAAGAAGTTCATTGCACAACTTTTATATTTTCCACCTGGTGGTACATACTCAGGAGGCAGTAACACCTCTCTGACACTCTGGTATCACCTTGTTACTTTATTTACTTTCCAGCAGTAGCTCATACCAGCATGGCTGAGGCAGATCTGAAGGCAGATACACAGAGCCCTACAGCCAACCAGAGGTTTTCTTACTCACGCTCCAGTAGTATAGGCTCCCTGCCTGGCATCAGTCATTCTTCAGCCTCCTCTGCACACAACACAGGTAGGGAGATTGCTTTAAAAGAGTTGGTGTATTCCTTCAAAATGGTATTTACTAAAAGTTGGCTGTTACACTAACTATAAATTAAATATTTCTATCATTCTAAAAGTGATTGAAATACTCTTTTAAGAAATGTGTCAGAATTGTAATTTAAAAAAAAAAAAATATATATATATATATATAGAGAGAGAGAGAGAGAGAGAGAGAGAGAGTTATAGAATTACTTAAAAATTGACATAACCCTGTGAGTAAAAGACACTGAGGACACCACTGTTCAAAGCCTTGGCTCTTTTAATTGTTTTTCATATGCTCTTTCACATAAGAATTGAGAGTCTGGTATATTGCTGTGCTATTTACTCAGTCTTTATTTTTAAAGTGATGAACATATAAATATTGATACATAAGTGTTTTGTTCAGATGATGAGGACAGTGATACACAGAGTACCAGTAGTAAAACGGCCAGTAACTACAAGGACAGGAGAAGAGAAGCCCACACACAGGCGGAACAGAAGAGGAGAGATGCCATTAAGGTGACAGTGAATAGCCCTCAGTGGTCACAAATTATATGCCTCTTTTAGTGAAAAAAGGTTCAACAACACTAAGGGATAAATTCTTTATTTGAAATGTTGTCCTTTCATCAATATTATGTTGTTTTTTTCCCCCAGTACTCAAATGTATATTGTATTTTTGAGATCATGAGATTATGAAGAATATATTGATGTAAATAAGATCATAATGATTCAGTGGTATTTAAGCACCTTCATTGTGTGGTGATACATTTTAGACAAATTTATTTTCACGCCAGTCACTTTGTGACCTTCGCTTTAAATGTGTTGTTTCTTCTACAGAAAGGCTATGATGAACTGCAGACCATCGTCCCCACATGTCACAATGCAGTGGATGCTGTGGGTACACAGAAACTGAGTAAAGCAGCCGTACTTCAGCGATGTAAGTTTCTGCAGATTTATTTTTTCCAAATACAATTCTAAGGTCTATTGTAATTGCACTATTTACTAGCCTAAAAACCAGAATTTTTGAACTCTAAAATGGGTTTTTGGATGGTTTATGAACATTGCAGAAATGATTTACCTTGTATACTTTGTTTATTAAAGAATAGTCTTGACATATCTAGACGTAATGAATTTTTGCATTGAAAATCTATCACTAATTGGGAGCCTAAAAGATGTGTGTTAATAAATACATAAAGTGGCATTTTAACAATGAATGAACTTCACTTTCTTCCAGCAATTGACTACATCCAGTATTTGGTGCAACAGAAAAAAAAGCAGGAAGAGGACTTGGAGTCTTTGAGAAAAGAGGTCTTGGCCCTCAAGATCATGAAAGCGTAAGAATCATAGCTAATTTTACTCTGTTTAAGCCGTCCATTAGTCTCATTGGTGCATCTGAGTCATGATCCGAAAAGGTGACTTTTATATTATTCATTTGATATTTGTTGAACTATTATATACATTATCATATTCATTATTGATCATTGATCTTGTGTGAGGTCACCTCTTGGCTATGTTCAACCCTAAGCTGGTGTATTTGACCGTTATGAAAGATTGTCAAGTCCTTTTATAAAATTTTACCTCCTGCTTCCAGACCAATATTGGCTAGTTAGGAGGTCAGTGCAGTATTATATTGACTGCACATGACTGCCTATCAACCAATTGATGAACATCAAAATATGTGATCATGTAGCTAGTTGTTTTAGTGACTTGGTGTAGAAAACCAGTGATATGAATGGAATGTTTTATATTCCAGCAATTATGAACATATAGTGAAAGCTCACCAGAGCACTCCACAGCATGGCCAGAACCAGGTGCCAGATGAAGTCAAATTTCAAGTGGTGAGTGTAATGGGATTCATTTTATAATACTTTGTTACTTGTACAAATATATGTCGTCTCTTGAGCTGTTTTAACTGCTGTATGGGAAGTGAACAGCTGTTTACACCCTACTCACCCAACTGGGTTGTTAACAGAAAAATCTGTTTTCTGTTCATGAGGACAACACTAGACAAGGTTTAATTTTCAGTCAAAAACAAGTGTGTGTGTGTGTGTGTGTGTGTCATTCACATGCCAGTCTTCCTGAAATGAGTGCTGTGGAAAGGTTAACAGTGAATTTGCTTTCCTCTCTTTTTCCAGTTCCAACAAATGATGGATGCCTTGTTTCAATCCTTCAATGCCTCAATCTCAGTTGCCAACTTTGCAGAACTCTCTGGCTGTATTTTCAGTTGGCTGGAGGAGTACTGCAAACCACAGGTAAAATTAAATTTATAAAGAACACGATGGTTTTGATTTTTAAAAAAAGTCAATAGATTACAAAATGTAAGGACAAATTCAAGGTAAAATATTGTACTTTATACCTAACGTCTGCATTTATTTTTTCCTGTGATGAAACATTTTAAGTTGCTATTTAAGATCTTTTCTATATTTCACACATAGAGCCTGAGGGAGTTGGTGCTTGCTGTTCTCAGACAGACCACATCCCAGATGAACCTTTGATACAAACCAGATACCAGTACAGATAGACTTCCAGCTCAGAAAGACAATAACTGGGTCATATTCCAACCAGGGCCTTATTTCAAAAATATTTCAGCTTGAAAGTAGGCCTTGGCTAGACCTACTTAATTCATAAACCAGTTTGCATTTCACAAAGAAAAAATATACCTCTTCCTATTTGAGAACCCCTCTTTGAAATCATGTGGCCCATGGCATGAATACTCTTGACATGCACTCTTTGGTAGCAGGTCTTAGAAACCCACATGAATATCATGCTTATATCATAAATAACAGCATCTGGCACTGTGAGCATACACTCTCATGTGTACATGTATATAAATAATATTTGTTGACTTCGTAAAAATGTGGATACCCACAATTAAGGTTATATTTATTGGCTAATCTTACCCAGTGAGCACTAGACCTTAATTTAGCACCAAAAAAGATTTCTTGAAAATTCGAGCTCAAAGGCTTGGCTTAGAATTGCGCATGTAATGGAAAAAAATTAAAACTAAGGGCTTAAAATAAGGGTTTGATATCATAATTTTGACATTGGTTTCATAATGGGAGTTGCTTAATTCCAAATTTGTTTTCCTATGAAATGGTCTGTCGCGTTCACTGTGAATTTAACTTTAGCATGGCAGTGGAAAGAAATGAGTATTGAATCGATGACACATTTATAAATATCACTTATGTTGTAGCACTTATTCCAGAAAAATTGGCAGTGAATCACGATAAGGACGTTGCTGAGAATTATGCTTGCTGATTATTGTATATATACACGTTGTATGGGGTGGTGAGCTTTGTCACTTTTTATAGGAAATTGTAAATATTGTCACTGTCATTATTAATATTATATCATATATAAGGAATTGGCGGAGAAATAAAAAGAGAAAATATAAAGGAGTTTTCTTGATTGTTCGCCAGGAGCGAATTAAGTAGACGTCCTGACACAAAACATAAGGAAGATCGACATCTAGCTGAATACCAGGACCCATGGCAGTAACGCGCCCAAGCTGAATATATAGCCAACGCACCGTACCAGTCAGTATCAGGCACGATTTCAGCAGAGTTTCAACAGTAAGCACAACCGAAGTCCGGGCTCCCTTTTGATTAGTACAGGATAGGGTTATTCTGAGCGTTGGGGTTATTGGACAATTGTCACGGGTACAAAGTAATGGGAAACTGACTACGGTTCCTAGCGGACTACCTGTCACACCGGCGTATTACCATCTTTGGAACTATAACATATTTCCTTTGATTTGCAGTAATTTATACATATACAGGTATTTCTGAAACATGATGATGGAATGCACACCTCAGTTTGCGCCCCACCCTGCAGGCACGTGCACCTCCGAATCTCCCCTTTTAATTTTTTTCTACCTGCCCACTCCGTTTTTCGGCGGTATTAAAAAACTCATACGCCAGTTTTGAAGATTTTGAAAATTCCAGTGAGTGATTTTGTACGTGAACAAGGCAGTGCATATGATTTCTTTAAACTGATAATGACAAATCGCGCTTTAGTGCAAATCCTTTTTATGTACAGACACAGATGTGTCTGTACATATTGCCATCACCTGCATCTGTCGTCGCCGTCGCCGTCGCCGATGCCGATGCCGGCGCCGTGCACTTTCCTTGTAAACACGATAAGTGGAGGGCAGTTTTACTTTTTGGCTTAATGTTTACAGAGCTGATGAATATTCATAAAACGCAGGTCAAGTTCGAAAACCAGCATGATCGGGCCATTATTGTAGAAGTTATGCTGTTTTTTCACTTTTCAGCATATATGCAACCCTGTAAACACATTTTAAGGAAAACCGTTAGGCCTGTTGTCATGAAACTCACAGGAGTAATCAATCTTACTAAAAC